GTTCTTTCCCAATGACGTTTCAATGGATTTTTTTTAATTGTCTGTCTACCCCGTGGCCTGGTGGCTAAAGCTTTCGCTTAACACAGCGTCCGGGTTCGATTCCCGGCGAGGGTAGAAACAGTGGGTGTGTTCCCTTACACTGGTCGTCTAAGTTCACCCATCAGTAAAATGGGTACCTGGGTGTTAGTGGACTGTTGTGGGTCGCATCCTGGGACAGAATTGACCTAATTTGCGGGAAATGCTCAGCATAACAAGCAACTTTCTATATAGTAGTATGTCATTGATGTCAACTATGGTCTGTATACCTTGTACATGTAGAAATAAAGATATTATTATTATTATTATTATTATTATTATTATTATTATTATTATTATTATTATTTATTATTATTTTTATTATTATTATAACCTGAGCCTCACTTTCCTTATATACATTATTGACAACTTTCAACTGAATTAAGTCACTAACTTTTTGGGGGGTTCCTAAATTAATTTATTTACTCACCATTAAACCCGCGGCCCAGTCTGTGACCAGGCCTCATGGTGAATCAGGGCCTGATCAACCAGGCTGTTATTGTTGGCCGCACGCAAACCGATGTACAGCAATGTGATAACTCGTGAATGTCTCTTTAACACATCAGTTTTACAGGCCAAGAGCTGTTATCCAGCTTATCTGAGGGATACTACAACCCCCCAGGATGCAACCTCATACAAGTCAACTAACACCCAGGAAACACGCCCAATATTTCCCCCTGTACCGAGGATCGAACAATGGACACTCAGTGCGTTAGCTGAGTGAGCTACCAACCGAGCTACGGAACACACCCTTTGTGTACACTGAGGTATAGCCTCGCAAGACCCTATTTCTAGCTCTTATACAAGGTCATATGGACTACGCTTGCTCATAATGGTAAGATAAGATAAGATAAGATTTCGTTCGGATTTTTAACCCCGGAGGGTTAGCCACCCAGGATAACCTAAGAAAGTCAGTGCGTCATCGAGGACTGTCTAACTTATTTCCATTGGGGTCCTTAATCTTGTCCCCCAGGATGCGACCCACACCAGTCGACTAACACCCAGGTACCTATTTGCTGCTAGGTGAACAGGACAATAGGTGTAAGGAAACGTGTCGGAATTTCCACCCGCCGGGAATCGAACCCGGGCCCTCCGTGTGTGAAGCGGGAGCTTTAGCCACCAGACCACCGGGCCTTGACAAAAAAAACTAAAAGATTGACCACAAATCACTCAGAACAAAATGGTAAAATTCATCCTGAGCCTGGATCCAGGAGGGCATGTAGGCCTGGGTCCAGGACAGCATGTAGCCCTGGGTCCAGGAGAGCATGTAGCCCTGGGTCCAGGAGAGCATGTAGCCCTGGGTCCAGGAGAGCATGTAGCTCTGGGTCCAGGAGAGCATGTAGCCCTGGGTCTAGGAGAGCATGTAGCCCTGGGTCCAGGAGAGCATGTAGCCCTGGGTCTAGGAGAGCATGTAGCCCTGGGTCCAGGAGAGCATGTAGCCCTGGGTCCAGGAGAGCATGTAGCCCTGTGTCCAGGAGAGCATGTAGCCCTGGGTCCAGGAGAGCATGTAGCTCTGGGTCCAGGAGAGCATGTAGCCCTGCGTCCAGGAGAGCATGTAGCCCTGGGTCCAGGAGAGCATGTAGCCCTGGGTCCAGGAGAGCATGTAGCCCTGTGTACAGGAGAGCATGTAGCCCTGTGTCCAGGAGAGCATGTAGCTCTGGGTCCAGGAGAGCATGTAGCCCTGGGTCTAGGAGAGCATGTAGCCCTGGGTCCAGGAGAGTATGTAGCCCTGGGTCCAGGAGAGCATGTAGCCCTGGGTCCAGGAGAGCATGTAGCTCTGGGTCCAGGAGAGCATGTAGCCCTGGGTCCAGGAGAGCATGTAGCCCTGGGTCCAGGAGAGCATGTAGCCCTGGGTCCAGGAGAGCATGTAGCCCTGGGTCTAGGAGAGCATGTAGCTCTGGGTCCAGGAGAGCATGTAGCCCTGGGTCCAGGAGAGCATGTAGCCCTGGGTCCAGGGGAGCATGTAGCTCTGGGTCCAGGAGAGCATGTAGCCCTGGGTCTAGGAGAGCATGTAGCCCTGGGTCCAGGAGAGCATGTAGCTCTGGGTCCAGGAGAGCATGTAGCCCTGGGTCTAGGAGAGCATGTAGCCCTTGGTCCAGGAGAGCATGTAGCCCTGGGTCCAGGAGAGCATATAGCCCTGGGTCCAGGAGAGCATGTAGCTCTGGGTCCAGGAGAGCATGTAGCCCTGGGTCTAGGAGAGCATGTAGCCCTGGGTCCAGGAGAGCATGTAGCCCTAGGTCTAGGAGAGCATGTAGCCCTGGGTCCAGGAGAGTATGTAGCCCTGAGTCCAGGAGAGCATGTAGCCCTGGGTCTAGGAGAGCATGTAGCCCTGGGTCCAGGAGAGTATGTAGCCCTGGGTCCAGGAGAGCATGTAGCCCTGGGTCCAGGAGAGCATGTAGCTCTGGGTCCAGGACAGCATGTAGCCCTGGGTCCAGGAGAGCATGTAGCCCTGGGTCCAGGAGAGCATGTAGCTCTGGGTCCAGGAGAGCATGTAGCCCTGGGTCTAGGAGAGGATGTAGCCCTGGGTCCAGGAGAGCATGCAGCTCTGGGTTCAGGAGAGCATGTAGCCCTGGGTCTAGGAGAGCATGTAGCCCTGGGTCCAGGAGAGCATGTAGCCCTGGGTCCAGGAGAGCATGTAGCCCTGGGTCCAGGAGAGCATGTAGCTCTGGGTCCAGGAGAGCATATAGCCCTGGGTCTAGGAGAGCATGTAGCCCTGGGTCCAGGAGAGCATGTAGCCCTGGGTCTAGGAGAGCATGTAGCCCTGGGTCCAGGAGAGCATGTAGCCCTGGGTCCAGGAGAGCATGTAGCTCTGGGTCCAGGAGAGCATGTAGCCCTGGGTCTAGGAGAGCATGTAGCCCTGGGTCCAGGAGAGCATGTAGCCCTGGGTCCAGGAGAGCATGTACCCCCTGGGTCCAGGAGAGCATGTAGCCCTGGGTCCAGGAGAGCATGTAGCCCTGCATGTAGGCCAGGATAAGATTCATCCTGGACCTTGGTCCAGAAGAACATGTAGGCCTGGGTCCAGAAGAACATGTAGGCCTGGGTCCAGAAGAACATGTAGGCCTGGGTCCAGAAGAACATGTAGGACTGGGTCCAGAAGAACATGTAGGCCTGGGTCCAGGAGATCATGTAGACCTGTTGAAGATTGAGACACTTATGCAGCATATGAGAATCTTTATTCAGGAAACGTTTCGCCACACAGTGGCTTCATCAGTCCAATACAAAGAGGAAGGCGCAAGGAGAGGAGGAGTATGAGGTAATCAGTCCCTCAGCCTGGAGTCGATGTGTTCAGTCCATCAATCTTGTAGAATGTACAGCATAGGGCCGTAGACGTGGCTTATATACTGTAGTGAGGTGAGGTGAAGCAGGCGGAGGCGGGGTCATAGTGGTACCATCCACTAGTCGAAGTAGGTCTTAGTCCAAAGGTTGAACAAGTGTTGAAGAATTATTTGTAACAAGATCCCATGATGCCCTGGGGTTGTGATGAATGGTTTTTCAAACCATTCATCACAACTGTCAGACACTGCAGCATCATGGGATCTTGTTACAAAGAATTCTTCAACACTTGTTCAACCTTTGGACGAAGACCTACTTCGACTAGTGGATGGTACCACTATGACCCCGCCTCCGCCTGCTTCACCTCACCTCACTACAGTATATAAGCCACGTCTACGGCCCTATGCTGTACATTCTACAAGATTGATGGACTGAACACATCGACTCCAGGCTGAGGGACTGATTACCTCATACTCCTCTCCTTGCGCCTTCCTCTTTGTATTGGACTGATGAAGCCACTGTGTGGCGAAACGTTTCCTGAATAAAAATTCTCATATGCTGCATAAGTGTCTCAATCTTCAACTTGTCGGTTTTTCAAACCATTCATCACATCATGTAGACCTGGATCCAGGAGAGCATGTAGGCCTGGGTCCAGGAGAGCATGTAGGCCAGGATGGCAAGATTCCTCTTGGACCTGGATCCAGGAGAGCATGTAGGCCTGGGTCCAGGAGAGCATGTAGGCCAGGATGGCAAGATTCCTCTTGGACCTGGATCCAGGAGAGCATGTAGGCCTGGATGAATTACTACAATTGGATATACTGAATATTGAAGACTGAGTAAAACAGAAGTTAAATCAAGTTTATAAAGCTGCTCACAAACAGTGTCCAGAATATCTTGCTGCCAATTTTGTCAAGGCTGAGAACCAAAGCAATCATAGTACTAGGGGGAGAGAGAGCACAACTTTGGTAAAATAATCTCCCCTCATGTAGAGTACTAGTGGTATAATAATCTCCCCTCATATTGAGTACTAGTGGTACAATAATCTCCCCTCATGTAGAGTACTAGTGGTACAATAATCTCCCCTCATGTAGAATACTAGTGGTATAATAATCTCCCCTCATGTAGAGTACTAGTGGTACAATAATCTCCCCTCATGTAGATTACTAGTGGTACAATAATCTCCCCTCATGTAGAGTACTAGTGGTACAGTAATCTCCCCCTGCGTGTGGCCAACAGTAACAGCCTGGTTGATCAAGCCCTGATTCACCATGAGGCCTGCTCACAGACCGAGCCGCGGGGACGTTGACTCTCAAAACCCTCTCCAGGTATACTCTCATGTAGAGTACTAGTGGTACAATAGTAGTGGAGTTGAGCGCCTCTGGTGGTGAGAGTGGTGGTCTTGACAGAGGTCCCTTGAAGGTGGTGGTGAGGGTCTCTTGATCCAAGGAATGTGATCTATGCCACCTGGGAGTGAACTTATCCTCCCAGGTGGTCCATGGCCCCCACGGGTTGAGCCCTCCACCATGAGTAGTACTGATAGTGAGGGTGTAGAAGTGCCATCTAGTGGTGGTAGTCAGAGTTAGTCAGGTTATCAGTGATGGTGTTATAGTGAAGGTCAGGACAGTGACCAACCTCAAGGTCACTAAAGGTCAGTTGAACTTCAGTGGTCATACAGAAGAGATGTTTTGCTCCTCCTCCTGCCACCCGGCCGGCTTTACCGCTTCCTCATCCTTTTAATACACTTAAATAACGTAAGTATTATCTGGTGACGTATTTGTCAGTACAACAGCAGAGTTGAGCTGCAGCTCCTGGTCCCCACCACCAGTTTGGTCACCAAATTATTAATATTTTTAATAGTCTTAATTTTCTTTGGGGTCTAATGTCTTGGAGGGGAGGGGGGGGTGATGGACCTTAGTGGAGGGGTTTTGATGCGAGGATCTGGAGCTACTCCCCTTCCTCTGATCAAACAATAACTCTCACACTAGACGTCACATTACCCATAATTGTGTGTCCAGTTCTGAACTATTTTTTTCCATTATTGGAAAATAACTTAAGATCTCTTGATCCAAGGAAGTTGCGCCTTGTGATCCAGATATAACTTACATGTAAACATAATGTTAGTCATCAGGTTTATGTAAAAGAAATGTTTAAGAAAAAGATAACTTGACTTGAGTGAATGTGTCCATGTAAACGAAGAAGGTAGTCAAGATTAACGCCAAGGTTAGTTAGTTTAATATGTTTATTATGCACCCCATACCCATCCTGTGGGAGGTAGTCAAAAGATTACAGAGGTACATAATGGGTCCAGGGACTGGGCCTCAAAGTTTTGATAGCTGAGCAAGTTACAGAGGTAATGAATTCACAATTTACAAAGGTAATGAACTCACAATTTACAAAGGTAATGAACTCCAGGTAGGTCTAGTCACAATCATGACAAGTTACAAAGGTATTTACAGATTACAGAGGTACACAATGGGTCCAGGGACTGGGCTCCCAAAGTTGTGATGGCTGAACTAGGTACAAGGTAATGAACTCACAATTTACAAAGGTAATGAACTCACAAGTTACAAAGGTAATGAATACTGTAAGAATGGTTACTTACGTTTATACATGGCTGCAGTCATGAACAAATTGCCAAGGACAGTGGCATTGTGTGATGGGGATGTATCATCATCGCTTCTCGGCCTTTTGGCTAAGATCAAAGTGTAGTATCATCTTCACCCGCTGCACATACGTACATGAGTAGGTGTGAGTTGGATCTGACTAGCTTGTGCTACTAGGTCTGATGCCGTGCTCCTTTAAGTGGAAGTGACCTGACCTGACTAGGTTCGGTCATTGGCTTAGGAGGAGACTTGGACCTGCCTCGCATTGGCCAGTAAGCCTGCTGCAGTGTTCTTTCTTATGTTCTTATGTTCTTACTATGTTAAACATTGTTTACATCAGTCAGGCAGTAATGTTACTAGTTTATATTACATGGTAATGTTTATAAATGTGTGTAATATTCATGGTTATAATGTGAATGTTTTGTTTCAGGTGTTGCTGCAACATTGATCTACACTGCAACATTGACCAGTCTGAGGAGTGCTGTGCCTGGCTGCTGCAACATTGACCAGTCTGAGGAGTGCTGTGACTGGCTGCTGCAACATTGACCAGTCTGAGGAGTGCTGTGACTGGCTGCTGCAACATTGACCAGTCTGAGGAGTGCTGTGCCTGGCTGCTTGCAACATTGACCAGTCTGAGGAGTGCTGTGCCTGGCTGCTGCAACACTGACCAGTCTGAGGAGTGCTGTGACTGGCTGCTGCAACATTGATCAACACTGCAACATTGACCAGTCTGAGGAGTGCTGTGCCTGGCTGCTGCAACATTGACCAGTCTGAGGAGTGCTGTGCCTGGCTGCTGCAACATTGACCAGTCTGAGGAGTGCTGTGACTGGCTGCTGCAACATTGACCAGTCTGAGGAGTGCTGTGACTGGCTGCTGCAACATTGACCAGTCTGAGGAGTGCTGTGACTGGCTGCTGCAACATTGACCAATCTGAGGAGTGCTCTGACTGGCTGCTGCAACATTGATCAACACTGCAACATTGACCAGTCTGAGGAGTGCTGTGACTGGCTGCTGCAACATTGATCAACACAGCAACATTGACCAGTCTGAGGAGTGCTGTGACTGGCTGCTGCAACATTGATCAACACAGCAACATTGACCAGTCTGAGGAGTGCTGTGGCTGGCTGCTGCAACATTGATCAACACAGCAACATTGACCAGTCTGAGGGACAGAGACAACCACACTAGTAAATGGTCTGACCCATAACATTTAGTGTTATATGGAGATGCAGCAGTTGGAGACGTCGCCAAGGGTGGGCGGGGCCCACTTGTAAGGTATTTCCAGGTTATAAATCCACTAAAGTTTGGTTATTGAAGCAGATAGTAATTGTATTAGATGGGAAGGTGATGGGGAGAGTATAGGAAAGGTTGTAAGTAATTGATATCAAAAGTAACTTAGTGGGAAGTATTAGTTTATCTCCCGACCAGAGATGAAATCTCTGGCCAGGAAATAATGAGGAATGTATTCTGTAGGTTACCTTAAATGAGGTGGAAATAAAAATTGGAGAAATGGGTTGTAAAGCTTAGAATTGAAGACTGATTGTATTTTAGAAGTTTTAGTTAGCGTAATATATTTGTCGTCTATATCCATCCTGCAAGATTGTAGGAAGCTGAGATGAAATGTGTAAGTGATGTATCATGGCTCAGTTGGTAGTGGTGTCAACTGAAGAACCGGGATTCGATCCCGGGCACAAGTGGGCATGTTCCCTTATATCCACTGGCACTGTTAACATAAAGGAACTCTGCCGCAGGCCTACTGGCCCTGAATAGGCCTAGTGGTAGGGGTCGCATCCTGGGGAAGTATAAATATCCCAATAAAAATGTCAGATTATCCTGACTTATGTAATTTTGTGTTAATCGACTGAGTTAATAATTATACTGAGATAGTTTAGTGTGGTGAGGGTAATGGTAGAGGTGTTGATGCTGGGTGTGGTGAGGGTAATGGTAGAGGTGTTGATGCTGGGTGTGGTGAGGGTAATGGTAGAGGTGTTGATGCTGGGTGTGGTGAGGGTAATGGTAGAGGTGTTGATGCTGGGTTGGTGAGGGTAATGGCAGCGGTTTGATGCTGGGTGTGGTGAGGGTAATGGTAAGGTCTTGATGCTGGGTGTGGTGAGGGTAATGGTAGAGGTGTTGATGCTGGGTGTGGTGAGGGTAATGGTAGAGGTGTTGATGCTGGGTGTGGTGAGGGTAATGGTAGAGGTGTTGATGCTGGGTGTGGTGAGGGTAATGGAAGAGGTGTTGATGCTGGGTGTGGTGAGGGTAATGGTAGAGGTTTGATGCTGGGTGTGGTGAGGGTAATGGTAGAGGTGTTGATGCTGGGTGTGGTGAGGGTAATGGTAGAGGTGTTGATGCTGGGTGTGGTGAGGGTAATGGTAGAGGTGTTGATGCTGGGTGTGGTGAGGGTAATGGAAGAGGTGTTGATGCTGGGTGTGGTGAGGGTAATGGTAGAGGTGTTGATGCTGGGTGTGGTGAGGGTAATGGTAGAGGTGTTGATGCTGGGTGTGGTGAGGGTAATGGTAGAGGTGTTGATGCTGGGTGTGGTGAGGGTAATGGTAGAGGTGTTGATGCTGGGTGTGGTGAGGGTAATGGTGAGGTGTTGATGCTGGGTGTGGTGAGGGTAATGGAAGAGGTGTTGATGCTGGGTGTGGTGAGGGTAATGGTAGAGGTGTTGATGCTGGGTGTGGTGAGGGTAATGGTAGAGGTGTTGATGCTAGGTGTGGTGAGGGTAATGGTAGAGGTGTTGATGCTGGGTGTGGTGAGGGTAATGGAAGAGGTGTTGATGCTGGGTGTGGTGAGGGTAATGGTAGAGGTGTTGATGCTGGGTGTGGTGAGGGTAATGGTAGAGGTGTTGATGCTGGGTGTGGTGAGGGTAATGGTAGAGGTGTTGATGCTGGGTGTGGTGAGGGTAATGGTAGAGGTGTTGATGCTGGGTGTGGTGAGGGTAATGGAGAGGTGTTGATGCTGGGTGTGGTGAGGGTAATGGTAGAGGTGTTGATGCTGGGTGTGGTGAGGGTAATGGTAGAGGTTTGATGCTGGGTGTGGTGAGGGTAATGGTAGAGGTGTTGATGCTGGGTGTGGTGAGGGTAATGGTAGAGGTGTTGATGCTGGGTGTGGTGAGGGTAATGGTAGAGGTGTTGATGCTGGGTGTGGTGAGGGTAATGGAAGAGTGTTGTTGATGCTGGGTGTGGTGAGGTAATGGTAGAGGTGTTGATGCTGGGTGTGGTGAGGTAATGGTAGAGGTGTTGATGCTGGGTGTGGTGAGGGTAATGGTAGAGGTGTTGATGCTGGGTGTGGTGAGGGTAATGGTAGAGGTGTTGATGCTGGGTGTGGTGAGGGTAATGGAGAGGTGTTGATGCTGGGTGTGGTGAGGGTAATGGTAGAGGTGTTGATGCTGGGTGTGGTGAGGGTAATGGTAGAGGTGTTGATGCTGGGTGTGGTGAGGGTAATGGTAGAGGTGTTGATGCTGGGTGTGGTGAGGGTAATGGCAGCGGTCTTGATGCTGGGTGTGGTGAGGGTAATGGTAGAGGTCTTGATGCTGGGTGTGGTGAGGGTAATGGTAGAGGTGTTGATGCTGGGTGTGGTGAGGGTAATGGTAGAGGTGTTGATGCTGGGTGTGGTGAGGGTAATGGTAGAGGTGTTGATGCTGGGTTTGTGGTGAGGGTAATGGAAGAGGTGTTGATGCTGGGTGTGGTGAGGTAATGGTAGAGGTGTTGATGCTGGGTGTGGTGAGGTAATGGTAGAGGTGTTGATGCTGGGTGTGGTGAGGGTAATGGTAGAGGTGTTGATGCTGGGTTGTGGTGAGGGTAATGGCAGCGGTCTTGATGCTGGGTGTGGTGAGGGTAATGGTAGAGGTCTTGATGCTGGGTGTGGTGAGGGTAATGGTAGAGGTGTTGATGCTGGGTGTGGTGAGGGTAATGGTAGAGGTGTTGATGCTGGGTGTGGTGAGGGTAATGGTAGAGGTGTTGATGCTGGGTGTGGTGAGGGTAATGGTAGAGGTGTTTGATGCTGGGTGTGGTGAGGTAATGGTAGAGGTGTTGATGCTGGGTGTGGTGAGGGTAATGGTAGAGGTCTTGATGCTGGGTGTGGTGAGGGTAATGGTAGAGGTATTGATGCTGGGTGTGGTGAGGGTAATGGTAGAGGTCTTGATGCTGGGTGTGGTGAGGGTAATGGTAGAGGTGTTGATGCTGGGTGTGGTGAGGGTAATGGTAGAGGTCTTGATGCTGGGTGTGGTGAGGGTAATGGTAGAGGTGTTGATGCTGGGTGTGGTGAGGGTAATGGTAGAGGTCTTGATGCTGGGTGTGGTGAGGGTAATGGCAGCGGTCTTGATGCTGGGTGTGGGGAGGGTAATGGTAGAGGTGTTGATGCTGGGTGTGGTGAGGGTAATGGTAGAGGTGTTGATGCTGGGTGTGGTGAGGGTAATGGTAGAGGTGTTGATGCTGGGTGTGGTGAGGGTAATGGTAGAGGTGTTGATGCTGGGTGTGGTGAGGGTAATGGTAGAGGTGTTGATGCTGGGTGTGGTGAGGGTAATGGTAGAGGTGTTGATGCTGGGTGTGGTGAGGGTAATGGTGCAGGTGTTGATGCTGGGTGTGGTGAGGGTAATGGTAGAGGTCTTGATGCTGGGTGTGGTGAGGGTAATGGCAGCGGTCTTGATGCTGGGTGTGGGGAGGGTAATGGTAGAGGTGTTGATGCTGGGTGTGGTGAGGGTAATGGTAGAGGTGTTGATGCTGGGTGTGGTGAGGGTAATGGTAGAGGTGTTGATGCTGGGTGTGGTGAGGGTAATGGTAGAGGTCTTGATGCTGGGTGTGGTGAGGGTAATGGTAGAGGTGTTGATGCTGGGTGTGGTGAGGGTAATGGTGGAGGTGTTGATGCTGGGTGTGGTGAGGTAATGGTAGAGGTGTTGATGCTGGGTGTGGTGAGGGTAATGATGGAGGTCTTGATGCTGGGTGTGGTGAGGTAATGGTAGAGGTTTGATGCTGGGTGTGATGAGGGTAATGGAGGTCTTGATGCTGGGTGTGGTGAGGTAATGGTGGAGGTGTTGATGCTGGGTGTGGTGAGGGTAATGGTAGAGGTCTTGATGCTGGGTGTGGCGAGGTAATGGTGGAGGTTTGATGCTGGGTGTGGTGAGGGTAATGGTAGAGGTCTTGATGCTGGGTGTGGTGAGGGTAATGGTAGAGGTCTTGATGCTGGGTGTGGTGAGGGTAAATGGTAGAGGTCTTGATGCTGGGTGTGGTGAGGGTAATGGTAGAGGTGTTGATGCTGGGTGTGGTGAGGGTAATGGTAGAGGTGTTGATGCTGGGTGTGGTGAGGGTAATGGTAGAGGTCTTGATGCTGGGTATGGTGAGGGTAATGGTAGAGGTGTTGATGCTGGGTGTGGTGAGGGTAATGGTAGAGGTGTTGATGCTGGGTGTGGTGAGGGTAATGGTAGAGGTGTTGATGTTGGGTGTGGTGAGGGTAATGGTGGAGGTCTTGATGCTGGGTGTGGTGAGGGTAATGGTAGAGGTCTTGATGCTGAGTGTGGTGAGGGTAATGGTAGAGGTGTTGATGCTGGGTGTGGTGAGGGTAAATGGTGGAGGTGTTGATGCTGGGTGTGGTGAGGGTAATGGTGAGGTCTTGATGCTGGGTGTGGTGAGGGTAATGGTGAGGTTTTGATGCTGGGTGTGGTGAGGGTAATGGTAGGTCTTGATGCTGGGTGTGGTGAGGGTAATGGTAGAGGTCTTGATGCTGAGTGTGGTGAGGGTAGTGGTAAGGTCTTGATGCTGGGTGTGGTGAGGGTAATGGTAGAGGTGTTGATGCTGGGTGTGGTGAGGGTAATGGTGGAGGTCTTGATGCTGGGTGTGGTGAGGGTAATGGAAGAGGTCTTGATGCAGGGTGTGGTGAGGGTAATGGTAGAGGTGTTGATGCTGGGTGTGGTGAGGGTAATGGTGGAGGTTTTGATGCTGGGTGTAGTGAGGGTAATGGTAGAGGTCTTGATGCTGAGTGTGGTGAGGGTAATGGAAGAGGTCTTGATGCTGGGTGTGGTGAGGGTAATGGTGGAGGTCTTGATGCTGGGTGTGGTGAGGGTAATGGTGGAGGTTTTGATGCTGGTGTGGTGAGGGTAATGGTAGAGGTCTTGATGCTGAGTGTGGTGAGGGTAATGGTAGAGGTGTTGATGCTGGGTGTGGTGAGGGTAATGGTGGAGGTGTTGATGCTGGGTGTGGTGAGGGTAATGGTGGAGGTCTTGATGCTGGGTGTGGTGAGGGTAATGGTAGAGGTGTTGATGCTGGGTGTGGTGAGGGTAATGGAGGTTTGATGCTGGTTGTGGTGAGGGTAATGGTAGAGGTCTTGATGCTGGGTGTAGTGAGGGTAATGGTAGAAGGTCTTGATGCTGAGTGTGGTGAGGGTAATGGTAGAGGTCTTGATGCTGGGTGTGGTGAGGGTAATGGTAGAGGTGTTGATGCTGGGTGTGGTGAGGGTAATGGTAGAGGTGTTGATGCTGGGTGTGGTGAGGGTAATGGTAGAGGTCTTGATGCTGGGTCTGGTGAGGGTAATGGTAGAGGTCTTGATGCTGAGTGTGGTGAGGGTAATGGTAGAGGTATTGATGCTGGGTGTGGTGAGGGTAATGGTGGAGGTGTTGATGCTGGGTGTGGTGAGGGTAATGGTGGAGGTCTTGATGCTGGGTGTGGTGAGGGTAATGGTGGAGGTCTTGATGCTGGGTGTGGTGAGGGTAATGGTGGAGGTTTTGATGCTGGTTGTGGTGAGGGTAATGGTAGAGGTGTTGATGCTGGGTGTGGTGAGGGTAATGGTAGAGGTCTTGATGCTGGGTGTGGTGAGGGTAATGGTAGAGGTCTTGATGCTGGGTGTGGTGAGGGTAATGGTAGAGGTCTTGATGCTGGGTGTGGTGAGGGTAATGTAGAGGTCTTGATGCTGGTGTGGTGAGGGTAATGGTAGAGGTCTTGATGCTGGGTGTGGTGAGGGTAATGGTAGAGGTCGTGATGCTGGGTGTGGTGAGGGTAATGGTAGAGGTCTTGATGCTGGGTGTGGTGAGGGTAATGGTAGAGGTCTTGATGCTGGGTGTGGTGAGGGCAATGGTAGAGGTCTTGATGCTGGGTGTGGTGAGGGTAATGGTAGAGGTCTTGATGCCTGGTGTAAGAACAGCCTATTAAATCAGGCATATCCATTATTAAGACAAAGGAGCATTGAAGCAGGCCTATTGGCCCATGTTAGGCAGGTCCAACTCTCAACCACTCATTTCTCTAACCTATTTTTAAGACTACACAACCAAAGTTTTACCTTCACATGACGGAATAAATTTTCCTTAGGCAGAATATATTATAGCCGGAGAAAATAACAATTCCTCAGAAATGTGGAATTAACCACATCTTCCTATTTTCAGTAGTGTTGTAGAGGACCTGGCCAAGTTGTAGAGGACCTGGCCAAGTTGTAGAGGACCTGGCCAAGTTGTAGAGGACTTGGCCAAGTAATTTTATGCTTTGAAGTTCCAAAAATATTTTCAGTAGTATAGCCTTGTGGGTTTAGCGCTTATGACTCCAGAGTCTGTATTAGAGCGTCTTGGGGGGGGGGATTTGTTTTGAAATTGGGTTATGCAGTATATATTTAGAGAGACTTTGTAGACTGATCTTACCTAGTCCCCCTTGATCTTACCTAGACCCCCTTTGATGTTACCTTTACCTCCCTTCATCCTCCCTTGCGCAGCCACTTCCCTGCAAATTGTTAAGGCCTGTACCTGGAGTATGCTGCATAGTTGTGGTGTATATATGCATATAGCACTTTGTTGGTCTACAATTATTTAGTTTCTACTATCAAAATAACTTACAGAAGTAGGTGTTGTTAAGTAGGAGAGGTAAGGTATAGAACTGGAGCATCTGCTATATGCATTATGAATGCATATAGCAGGGGAGAGTAATCTCCCCTGAAGGCATAGATTACGTAGAACTGTTGGCCTGGGAACCCACCAACGATCTTCAGTAGCTGTCTGCAGTCTGTTATTGCACGTAGTTTCTGTGGGGATTTTGGTGGGTTTCGGGCTTTGGGTAGTGGTTGTGGTGGGTGTTCTACGTTTATGCCTTTGGCAAGTCCAAGGTTGATTTGTTTACTAACTTCATAAAACTGACACTTGGGGAGGAAACTTTAGACGTTTCTGTCTAACCTGGATTGTTATGAGACTATCGACTGCATCTGGACTTAGTTTTGATACCTTTTTTCCTGGACCCGATTTCTCTAACTTTTATTGTTTTCACATTATAAATGTTGTACAATACTAGGTTGGTAAGAGACACTGACAGTTATTATTCATGAAATGTTAGGCTTGGGGAGTAGACTTTATCTGTCGACTACACAGGTGACAGCAGTCTTGGACACTAAACTGTCGAGTTAATTTTGAGATTTTCCCTCCAACCTTGACAAAAGATGGTCAGTCTCTTAGGTAAGAAATTAGCCAGATTTTTTATTTACTTCTAATTTCTTACCTAAGAGACTGACCATCTTTTGTCAAGGTTGGAGGGAAAATCTCAAAATTAACTCGACAGTTTAGTGTCCAAGACTGCTGTCACCTGTGTAGTCGACAGATAAAGTCTACTCCCCAAGCCTAATATTTCATGAATAATAACTGTCAGTGTCTCTTACCAACCTAGTATTGTACAACATTTATAATGTGAAAACAATAAAAGTTAGAGAAATCGGGTCCAGGAAAAAAGGTATCAAAACTAAGTCCAGATGCAGTCGATAGTCTCATAACAATCCAGGTTAGACAGAAACGTCTAAAGTTTCCTCCCCAAGTGTCAGTTTTATGAAGTTAGTAAACAAATCAACCTTGGACTTGCCAAAGGCATAAAAAACGTAGAACACCCACCACAACCACTACCCAAAGCCCGAAACCCACCAAAATCCCCACAGAAACTACGTGCAATAACAGACTGCAGACAGCTACTGAAGGGGGGAACTACAAGTTAACCTTCAATAATAAAGTTCAACAGGAGCTTACAACAGACATAAAAACTCCAGTATTCCTGTTGGTTAATGTTAGCAGATTTTTTTATTTACTTCTAACATTAACCAACAGGAATACTGGAGTTTTTATGTCTGTTGTAAGCTCCTGTTGAACTTTATTATTGAAGGTTAACTTGTAGTTCCCCCCTTCAGTAGCTGTCTGCAGTCTGTTATTGCACGTAGTTTCTGTGGGGATTTTGGTGGGTTTCGGGCTTTGGGTAGTGGTTGTGGTGGGTGTTCTACGTTTTTTATGCCTTTGGCCAAACTGTGTAAAGTTAATATTGATTCATTGAGTTTACACAATTTTGGAAAATTTAAGCAGCTTTCGGGTTCCTATGAATATAAAAGTATTAGCGTTCAGAATTCCAGTTTGATAGTTTATAAAAAGTGAAGTCTAACGCTTCTGGCAGCAGATGTTAATGATGAAAATAATGAAAACCTCTGAAGTGAAGTGTTAGTCGGCAGAAAGGATTCACTAACATCTGATGCTGATGAGTATAGTTAAGGAGGGTGATTTAGAGTGGTATTAGTGAGAATAGGATCATTAACCCTGCTGGGTTAGAGACCCAAAAAAGTAGTAGATAGGGGGGGGGGGCTGAATGTAGTGGTCCTCAGGTTGTGCCTAGGATGCCAGCCGTAACTGGCAGGTAAGGTAGGTTATTAATTCAAGCGAGCATAGTAATGTGTTAGGAAACTGGTATACGGCAGACTTCCAACTGGTTAGATAACCCATAGTGTTGGTTGTTAGCATAGTGTGCTATGGGAGACGTGTTAGTGTAGGGGAAATACATTGTTGTCTTGAAGGTAGTTAGGATCATTGTTAAATCTGGATGCCCTTTAAGGGGTATCTTTGTACTAGTGAGGGTATCTTTGTATAAACAGTTGCAAGTACCTTCCCCTTCCTTGGATCAAACCTGATTGCCTAACATACACAGCTTGGGGAATGATCCCCTATGGATAATATAGATCGTTATGGGAAGTTTTGTGGGTAAATGTGCACGTATGTACAATAATTTGAATGAGAAAGGAGCAGTAAACTTTCGGCGGGACAGGTCGATGAAAGTCAATCAGGTTTGATTCAGAAGAGTAGTGAAAGTTTATAAAGTTTTTTTTTTCCGGTTTAACATGCATCCCTTAAATATAGGCATCTGGATTTACCATTCAACTTGTTCAGTTACCACAGAATCATCCTGACAATATCACCTCATGTCTTGTAACACAGGCAATTAGAACACTGGAGACAAGACTGTTGTACATGGAGAAGTCTTGGCAAGATAGTGTTGCGACGCTGGGCAGTCGTACGACTTCGTATTGTCAGGAAGCTAACACCACGTCACGAAATTTAAAAATGTATCATACCTCAAACTACTAATAATGGCAGTACTGAGGCTGTCCGCCTCATTAGTACTATTGTTAGTAGTGTTGGGGTAGGTATATATTTTTTTTTTTTTCCCGAACTTTAAAGCTCCCGAATTGTGTGAATGTTGTCCTCCTGCTGACAAATACAGCAGTTGAGGCTTCTCTCAAAGTTATTTACTTTTTCTATTTATTTTGTGTTCCATGAACATTGTTGTGATAAAGAAAATTTATTTATTACATTTTAATTAATGCTATTAAGTTTATCGAATCTTGTAGGTTGAAGATATTCTCAATATTGCGGCAGCTTCTGTGGTGAAGACCGTGTCGTGGCCAGCTGCAAGTCTTCAGAGATATCAACTCAGCAGCAACTCACCAAAACAATGTCTGCAAAGATAAAAGTATGAACATTACTAGATACACGAACTGTAGTAAGTAATAGTTTGAAGTCTTACTATGTATTTAGTATGCTTCCTTCAACATTTTATAGAAAGAAATATTGCTAAAATATTTTCAAAGCTAAGCTGTCAAAAATTACCATGAAATTTGAATAATTCAAGTTTTTTAAATTACCAGAGGTTGATGGAGCTGGAGGTGTTGATGGTGTGGTGGATGGCAGAGGAGTGACTAGTGGCGCCACTATTCTTGACCTCCATGGCTAAATGGCGCCGTTGACCTGGAGGGGTGATGACGTCAATGGTTGTTTGTGGGAAGGGGGAAGGTCGTTAGGGGAATGGTCGGGGGTTGGGGGTGAGTAGTTATTGTTAGTAGTGGGAGAGTTTTGGGGAGGGGGGGAGGGAGGATGGTTGTCACTTGGTAATTACTAAGAGACTAACAGTCTTGTTACTGTGTGTTAACGTGGCTTGAACCTTGATATTCGAAACGCCCTGGACACTAGCCCAGAGACACTCGTTTGCCAAATATTCGTAATTCTAATGAACAATGCCCATGGACTCGTCTTGAAAACCGTCTCCTTGATGTTGGGCAGACGTATTTGACATCTCATGTGGGTTTAGTGCTTAGTTTTAATAGTAGTAAGCCACAGGACCTTGTCTTCCTTTGCAGATGACACCCGAGTTTACACGACAGTGTCCTCCATTAAGATACTGCAAGACTCCAGGCGGACATCAACCAAATCTTTATATTGACCACAGAAAACAATATGAAGTTCAATGATGAGAAATTTCAACTACGATATGGAAAACGTGAGGAAATTAAAATTATATCAGAGTATAAAACAAATTCCAACCATACAATAGAACGAGAAACTAATGTAAAAAAGATCTGGGAGTGATAATGTCAGAGGATCTCACTTTCAAAGACCACAACATTGTATCAATCGTATCTGCTAGAAAAATGAAATGATGGATAATGAGAACCTTCAAAATTAGGGATGCTAAGCCCATGATGACACTCTTCAGGTCACTTGTTCTATCTAGGCTGGAATATTGCTGCACACTAACAGCACCTTTCAAAGCAGGTGAAATTGCTGACCTAGAAAATGTACAGAGAACTTTCACGGCACACACAACTGCGATAAAACACCTGAATTACTGGGAGCGCTTGAAGTTCCTCGACCTGTACTCCCTAGAATGCTGGAGGGAGAGATACATGATTATTTACACTTGGAAAATCCTAGAGGGATTAGTACCAAACTTGCGCACGAAAATCACTCCCTATGAAAGCAAAAGACTCGGCAGACAATCGTAGATGTGGGATTTCTTTCTCGAGTCTTTAAAGGAAAGGAAGCTAGGCGTAAGGTATACTAGAATACCTCTCAGATCATTGAGGTAGAGGGGGCTGGGCTGATGGGATACCTGGATCGTGGATCGAATGGCACACCTCTAGGTATAACGTGAGCCAGGCCACCCATAAGAGCCTCCAGGGATGAACGACCTGTGGCAACGTACTGCAAGTGTTCCAGTACTGTGATGACACGTACATTGGTGAGTTAACGCGCGCGCACATGCTCTCACCTAGTGTACATGTTTACACTCACCTAGTGTGTACATGTATACACATTCACCTCCGGTGTACATGTATACTCGGGTGTGCTGACACATCCACACTCAACTGGTGTGTACAACTGTAGTACCGAGGTTAAGATTACGCAAAATATAGCAATTAATATAGCGTCCTCCACCATCTTTGTATAATGGTGCCAGGATAGTGGCAGAAAGTGTAACTGAGGGTATTCCGGGGATCAACGCCCCCGCGGCCCGGTCCACGACCAGGCCTCCCGGTGGATCAGGGCCTCATCAACGAGGCTGTTACTACTGGCCGCACGTAATCCAACGTACGAACCACAGCCCGAAGAATGAAGAATTAGACACACGTGCAACATCTGGATATCTTTATAGACATCTTCCTATTATGTCCTTGAATTTGTATTGATAAAGCCAAGGGAGGGCGAAACGTTTACAAATAAAGTTACCCAGATGTTGCACATGTCTAATTCTTGTCGGTACAACACACAAAAACCTAACAAAAAAAAAATGTATGGGGCTGCCTCCTTGCCTAGGTAATTTCCTGACCTTCCGCTCTATCCCCCAGTGTCGCTTGTTAGGCCTCTTAGTAAGTAAATAGGTTTATTTAGGTACAGGTACACTTAAGTACAATTATCATACTTAGTAACATGTGTAAATTATCTAGGATAACCCAAAAAAGTCAGAGAAAGTGACTTATTTCCATTAGGGCGACATCTATTGTGAGGTCCCCTACTTCATTACATTAATGGGGAAGTGCTAAACATTGCCTAGGGTAACACCCAAAAACTTGAACGAAGTAACTTATTTCCACTGGGTAATAAGTTACTTCGATAATGTATGTCTTTGTTATTGGCAGTGGCTTGCAGAGGGGGGGGGAAGGGGCGGTGGCCCCGGGCATTCAAATGGGGGGGGGGGCATCCAATTAGAGAGGGACTCTGCACGCCACTGGTTACTGGTACCCATGGTATTAATACGGAAATTGAGATAACCCATACATTTGCGAGAGAGAGGAAGGAAACCCTAAGCAAGAGTAATCCTCAGAGACACGACACAGGGACCTGGGGAGGTGTGTGGTGAGTGACGTCCAGTAGCCTTGAAACAATAGGATTGTGAACGATGCATTGTGGAGTGTTTTTTTTTATTGTATATCACTGGTATTATATATACATTGCCGAGAAGAATGTGAGTAAGTGAAGATATGCGGATCATGGGGTTTTATTTAGACGTTTCGTCCAAGCACATTATCCTGGGGTGTGTGTGTGACATACAGAGTATGTTAAAAATTATTCAGCATATGTCACACTCCCATATAGGCTGCCTCCCAGCCAGTGAACCGAGTGCTAAGGTTTCAACGATCAACAAGGTACCCTTCGTTAAATCAGTACCTTGGTTCATTGACCAATCACAGGTAAGCCCGCCAAAGCTGAAGCAACGTGGTTCACTTGCGGGACGCTTTTGGCAGACTTGCCTACCTGCTGATTGAGCACGGTGCACTCTGGCTTCTGCTTTGCCATCTGTCACCGTAGTGTACACTTATTATTCTGTCTGCACTTATTTGTATACAGTAGTTGAAGGCAAAATATACTTTATAGTCTACTGCTGAGTTTGTTTTCTCCAATTACCATTACGACCAGATTACAGGTCATTCAGTACCTATGTTCGTAATAATGTGGTTGCAGGGGTCGATTCATAGCTTCGTCTATTTTATACCATTTCTATCCCTAGGCACTTCTAACTCGCACACCCCACCCCCACGTTCTCATGTACTTGACATATTGTAGAAGCTACACAAGGTTTTAGCTTTAGTGACGCTACTCGGGAGTTTGTTCCACTCATCCACAACTCTATTACCAAAACCATCCCTCTCCTACATCTTGCTAGCTTGTGCTACTAGGTCAGATGCTGTGCTCCTTCCTTAGGTGAATGTGACCTGACCTGACTAGGTTGGGGCATTGGCTTAAGCCGGTAGGAGACTTGGACCTGCCTTGCATGGGCCAGTAGGCCTGCTGCAGTGTTCCTTCTTTCTCATGTTGTTCTTAAATCTAAATTTCCCCAACTTGAACTCATTGCTGCGAGTCCTCTCTTGGTTAGATATTTTAAACACGCTATTTACGTCCCCTTATTCTTGTTTTCCATTTATACACCATAATTCTACTCTTTTTCTAGAGTAACCATTACAAAAGGATAGAAGAGGAGGAATATTACAGGAGGCCTGGTCATGGACCGGGCCGCGGGGGCGTTGACTCCCGGAAATACCCTTCAGGTTTACCCTTCCAGGACTACTGGCCCATGCGAGGCAGGTTCACCTCACACTCATACGAAGAAGGATAGTGATTATCTTTGCTAAATATATACATTAAAACCAAAAGTATCTTCGTGAACAAAATCAAAATCGTTTTGTAGCAAATTCTCTAAGATAATAATGGACATTTACGAATAGTAGTTTGTTTCATTATACACCTCACAGCTGTATAATCCTCCGGGTTTAGCGCTTCCCCTTGATTATAATAATAATATACACCTCACATTTACGCTGAGCGGTATTGAAAAGATTATAGAAGGTTATAATAGGTCCAGGGACGAGGCACCAAGCGGAAAGCCTAGCCCATATGACAAAAAAAGTATTCAGAGGGCGTTTTATTGTATAAATAAGAGGGGCATCAGAATTTTTTCCATTTCTCCTGGAACACACAATACCACTGCCACTAAGGAGAGACGCATCACTCCGCTGGTGTGGTTGTATCATTGCGTCAAGACAATTTTCTTGACAAAGGAAATGCCAGTAACCACCCAGTTGCAAAATTCCCTTGTGTGTCCCCAGGCTGCCGACGCCACCCAAGTGCCCTGTATGTGTGTTTGTGGTTGCATGGGTCGAGCCACAGCTCCTGTGGGTGTGTACTCGCCTATTTCTACTCGCCTATCTGTGGTTGCATTGGTTGAGTCATAGCTCCTGACCCCGCCTCTTCACTGGTCGCTACTAGGTCATCTCCCTGCTCCATGAGCTTTATCATACCTCGTCTTAAAACTACGTATGGTTCCTACCTCTACTAAATCACTTGCCAGATTATTCCACTTCCTGACAACTTTATGACTAAAGAAATACTTCCTAACATCCCTTTGACTCGTCTGAGTCTTCAATTTCCAGCTGTGACCCCTTGTTTGTGTGTCCCATCTCTGGAACATCGTTTGTTCACCTCAATTCCTCGCCGTATTTTGTATGTCGTTGTCATGTCTCCCCTAACCCTCCTCTTCTCTAGTGTCGTCAGACCGATTTCCCTTAAACTTTCTTCGTAGGTCATTTCCCTTAACTCTGGGACTAGTCTTGTTGCAAACCTTTGTCTGTCTGTCTCCGTGTCTGTCTCTCTGACTCTCTCTCTCTCTCTCTGTCCCATTTAGAGGTACTATATAACTATAACTATTTAAATTTACAAATGTGCTAAACCTGATACTGGACATCACTAAGCTAACTACATATAACTAGAACAAATTACTGCCAAGTTACAAGCAAATTTCTGACGCATGTCAAATTTGAGAAAAATGTCGGTCATTCTCAATATAAGTATTATATTTTGTGAGGTGATCTAAGCTCAAGTATCCTGACAACCGGCGTTTATCCAGGAATTTGTAGTATCCGTCACCTGATTTTCATATAGTCGGGGGTGTAAGTCATAGTCGGGATATAAGGCTAAATGGAAATTATATTTGGTGTTCTCTGAATTCAGGAGTCCT